GGTTGAAACCAGAGGTTTAAATTCTGGGTTCTTCGAAGAGTATTCGTCATGAGTATAGAAATTCTTCGTCTGAAATCAATTTTTCTTCGTAAGAAAGAAACAAAACTTAACGCAAATCTATGAAAAGGCATTTTCAACTGAATTATTCTGCCGGCGTTCGTGATGGTTTCACGTCGTTTTGCTTAATGATTTGTATTTGGCATGCAAACCGCGTCCCCTATCCAGTTCTGCGCGGCCAGCCATGCCGTTCCTGAATCAAGAACGTCTGGTGCTTAAGTTCCCTATTATTACTACATATCTCCATCACAAAGGCTGGTGAAATCACGAACCAAACATAATGTATTAACTTACTGGGAAAATGGCATATCACCTGGATTTTTTTTTTCAGCTATAAAGTGACAATTTAAAGAGAATAGCATTCTTTGAATGAACAGATCTTGACCTTTTCCTGAATCAATTGTCCTCCTCTCATACTTACAGTATCTGAATGTTTGCTTATAGATACCAACCTGTGGGGAATGTTATCTCTGTTGCACTTCCTTCTGTCTCAGGTTAGAGGGTATCAAGACATTATATAGCAATTTTTGCATGTTTTGATTGGCCACCATAACTCGGAATATCCCTGGCCATTCATTGTTTAGTGACTGGAGCCAAGATGGCGTCTCGTTTCGAGAAATTCTCCGAAGACGAAATTTGAGCAATAAATTAAGTAGTCGTAAGGGCAAACACCACGAAAGTGACCAATTTCAGCTTGTCGGTGTTTACTCAGGTAAGTAAGAAAACTATGTTCTTGCTGAATATGCAATAAAATCATTAAAACGCACGTCTGGACAAAATCCCCAAAATGTTTGTAAATTGTAAACAAACTTCCTACTAAGTGACTTTTTTAATTTACATATCCAACTGATTTGGTATTTTAAAAATCTAAAACAAATACAGTCGAACCTCTTGGTGTGGACACCTCTCCAATACGGACACCTCTATATTATGGACAGTTTCCAATGTCCCGACAAAATTGTTATATATTTTCTTAAAGAAAAACCTCTCTAATACTAATGCAGACTCTCTCTAATATGGACAACAGACACTATAAATCTCGGCTCCAGAGAGTAAATTCGTACAAACGTAACCTCTTTGTCGTTAATCTTTAATCAAGGTAATTGCCAATAGCGATTATGCTAATCCAGCAGTGGAGCGGCCAGCGGACACTGCGGTGATCAGGTGGATCCTGAATCCCACTCAGGTGAATCTGCACAGGGTGAATCCCGTCTGGCTGATGAGCTATACAAGGTGACTTCAAAAGCCCGGTTGCTGTATATCAAACAATGATTTGCAAAAGGTGTACAGAGGAACATATTAGCCAACTTTTTTAAGGCTTGAATAACTACAGATAGCACAAAGATCTTTTCTATTACATTTTGTACGCAAGTTACTGTTTACTGCACTTGCAAAATAGGGAAGACACTTTCAGAATTGTGCTTTAGCTTACAACTTTTTACATGCAGCATTGTGCTGTAGCTCGTTTCGTTTTAAAATAGTGATTTGTCTACAACTGTTCTACAACTGTACATATGGAGCTGATACGTACAATTTTGTATGCTACTGAAAGACAGTGTCTTTGTACTGTGAATTAAACTTAACTGCAGTTTAAAGACGAGTGTAAGCCTGGGTTTAGCTACTGAACACTTAAAAATGTAAGACATTCCAGCTCATGCCTGCGATTATGCCCTGTTGGAGATTGCCGTCAAGTTTGGCTTAATTCACCATCTAAAATCTCTAACCCGTCCCGCTGCTGGGAGAACATTAGATCTTGTACTTTCTACCACCAGCAACCTTATCCAGGGATGCCACGTCATCCCAGGCATCAGCGACCACGACGCTATCCTCTTTGAAGTTGATGTGGCTCCAAAATTTGCCCCAAAACCTCCTAGGAGAGTCTATCAGTTTCACAAGGGGGAGTATGAAGGCCTTCGTGCCCATCTGTCGTCCTTCTGTGATCAATCTCTCGCATCAGGTCCGAAAGAAAGGTCTGTTGAGGATAACTGGTCCATTATCGCAGATTCCATCCAAGAGGTGATTAATAAGTTTATTCCATCCAAAATGACAAAAACAAAGCGCCATCTCCCTTGGGTTAGCCCTGATATTAAAAGATTGATGAACAATCGTGGCCGCTTGCATAAGAAGGCTAAAAGAACTGGCAAGGCCCGGCACATAGGCGCCTATAGACAGTTACGTAACAGAATAACTAAGAGTATTCGTGACTCGCGCGCGAAATATGTTAAGGAGGTCATGGGCAGTATCGCATCGTCTCCAGACGGCAGTACCTGTGCCGGCATTAAGAGGGCGTGGTCCTATATTAAGCTCTTACGTTCTGAGTCTATAGGCATCTCAGCCCTTTTCTGGAACAATCGCGCGTGTGCAAACAATGTGTCAAAAGCCGAAGCCTTGCCTGAACAATACAAGAGTGTGTTTACATGTGAGGATTTAAATAACATTCCAGTACTCCCTGAATCTTCATACCAGAATATCCCGGACGTTACGTTCTTCGTCAATGGTATTCAGAAGCTGTTTGTCCATCAGACCTGACAAAGATTGTTCGGCCTTACCAAATTCCTACTCGCGTTCTTAAGGAGTCTGCATCCCAGTTGGCTCCTATCCTCGCCTCCCTCTTCCAACAATCACTTGAGGATGGCACTATACCCTCTGCCTGGAAGGATGCAAATATCACTAGACTGCCATCTTTAGAAAGGGGCATTCTGCTGACCTGTGTCATTAACATCTCTTATTGCAAAGAGCATGGAACAGATTACTTCTAAGCAAATCTGTAGCCATTCTTAGGGGAAATATTGAGTCCTCTCCCAGCACCAGCATGGCTTTCAAAGAGGACTTTTGTGTGAGACCCAGTTAATTACGGTCATTCATGAGTGGGAGAGCGTTCTTAACATCCATGGTCAGGTCGATGTGATCTTCCTCGATTTTGCGAAAGGAAAGGCTCCTCCTTAAGGCCAAATTTTACGGCATTCTGGGAAACTAAACAACTGGCTGCGGGCTTTTCTCACTGGTAGGAGACAACGTGTGGTGGTAAATGGTGCTTCGACTAATTGGGCACCAGTACTATCCGGTGTCCTCCAGGATACTGTTCTGGGGCCAAATTTGTTTCTTCTCTTTATAAACGATCTGCCCTCGTCCGTATCATCAAGAGTCAAGTTATCCGCAGATGACAGTGTGCTCTATCGCCATATTGGGTCTTCAGCTGACCATGATAAGCTCCAGCAGGACCTACTCCAGGTTGAGGAATGAGCGGCTATGTGGCGAACGAACTTCGCCCCTAGTAAATGTTATATCATTTCCATCCCCTTATTGTTAAGCATCAGCCATCGTCATTCTCCTACATGCTGTGTAACACTCCCCCAGAGGGAGTTACATTCCAGGGCCCAGTTGTTCAAAGCTGGGTTAAGATAACCCAGGGTTAGTGCGAGACTTGAATTCAGATTTGAAAGCTTAAAAAGGATTTCAGTTTTAATTCTTTTTGTCTACAAGTTGATGATTGGAAGCTCTAAAAATAGCACAGAAAATTGTCCGAGAAAATGCTTTCAAACACAATTACAAAAAACCCGGGTTAAATTTAACCCAGGGTTAAGCGCTAATCGGCTTTCGAACAACTGGGTCAAGAAATACTTAGGGGTCTACATCACCAACTCCCTCAATTGGACAAAGCAGGCTGTGGAGGTGAAAAAGAAAGCATAAAGATCCTAGGCGTACTCCAAAGGAACTTAACGTCTTGTAGCGCTGTTGTCAATGAACGGGCCTATTTGTCAATGTCATGAGCTTCTGTGTATACTGACCGTGCATTACCAGACTAGCTTGCTAGAGGCAATTATATCAATTAAAGATTAAAGATTTTGAAAGTCATATAAGTGACGTCATCGTAGTGACCTCGTTTATACAGACACCTCTCTAATACGGACACTTCGCTCTGTCCCTTTGGTGTCCGTATTAGAGGTTCGACTGTATGCCCCTAAGGGTCGGTCAACAGCGCTAGATATACGAAGCGCCGAGGTATATATCCGCCACTATTCACCTCCCCTTCTGGGATAGTTGTATACTATACAAGTAGTTGTTTTAGTATTTACCAAATCAGAGTTGAATAAAAATGAAAAAAAATAACTTTTTTGAAGACTAAAAATGTCATTTACTAAGAAGTTTGTTTTAAATAATTTACAAACATTTCGGCGATTTTGTCAAGTGCATCTTTACGATTTTTTTGCAAATTCAGCAAGAAAATATTTTCCACGTACCAGTAAACACCGACAAGCTGAAGTTGGTCGCTTTCTTCGTATTTGTTTGCACGAACGCTTCATCCGAAAATGTGCCGTAGTACTTAAATAAATAAATAATAGTCTTTATTCAATCAAAGGATAAAAATACATATCCTAAGTTACAGTGAAAAAGTGTTAAAGGATACACGATAAAATACAATAGTAATATAAGATAGAATAATACTATACTAAATTATGTTTAAAAATAAGTCTATTTACAAACGTTTTCTTTTATCTCTCCGTTTTTATCTGAGGAAGGTGACACCTCCTCCTACGCAAATTATATACTAATTCTTTATCTTTGGGAATGATCGCACCTAGCATATGATTATTAATAGCTCCTTTGAAAGCGGATTTATCTTGCTGTTCTAAAAGATTACAGATGCTAACTGTTTGAGAGGTAAAATGACGCCCCCCTTCCCGTACGCTGATGGCCCTAGCCAACAATACATTTCTTTTGTCTTATTCCCCCATGTCTCGTAGCCAAGTATGAATTTTAAATTATCTGGTTCATGGGTCAAGTAAAATCACTCTATTACCACATTTTCTGTGCTTTGCTGTTGACGCAAGAAGCGGCGCTGGGGATTCCCCGTATAAGATTGTTCATAATGATTGGTTAAAAATTGTCACGTGGTGTCTTTTACCGTGACGTAACATCGACGGTGAATCCTGTACACAAATAAAAACTTGTGAACCTTCGATGCAGCGTTTCGAGCGCTGCGTTTAGGTTTGAAACAGTTGGATGGTGGAATTCTGCAGTTGTAGAAATCTTGTGGGTGAGTGTTGAATATGCTTGTGTGAATATTGAGGTTTAAGAAATATTCTTGTTTGGGTCCTTTCTTATTTCGAATTTAAATCTCATTAACTATCATGCCTTTTAAAACTAACGACTTCTCTTCATTCTGCTGAAGCGATATCCCTATTTTTTTATATATTATGTTAAGCTTACCAACTAACTGTTTTGAAAATAATTTTTATAGATTTTTTATACTGCTGTTGATTTGACGTCGCTCCATGAAGATTCAATTAACCGACGACGAGTTCTGTACCATGAGCATTATGAAGGCATCATACATCTTTTTGGTAATCTTGTGTAATCTTAACTGAACTTAAAAGTTAACTTGTTTGTCTGAACGTTTTACCGTTATTTGTGTGGTAAAGGGAGGAAGGAAAACAATAAGATATAGTTAACGCATATTATATCGGGTGCTTATCACCGCGGTTTATCGTAAGCGGAATCCAGGGGGGGGCTGGCAACGGCCTTTGATCTTGCCGCTTTTCGGCTTTCCATGATCGCCCCAGTTAAGAAATCTGTCAATCATCCGAAAACTGTAGCGAGCATGCGCGGAACGGGTTGGGAAAACAAGTTCGTCTTCACAGCTTCTTCGCAGCGATTCGGCAGTGTGAAGTGAAGTTGCTTTTGGTCCCGTTGGTCATTGGTTTCTTCGTTTTGTTCCTCGGTAATGTGGAGCTTACGTTTTCCTTTCTTCTGGTCTTGCGTTTGCCATTAAATGCGGCCCGGTTTACTACGGTAAGAACGAGACCAGTGAACATGTTTCTCGATGCCCGACCTTTTGATGATTTGTTTCTGTTTAGACGACCCACGAATTGCAAGAGTAAAAGAAGGGCCAACCCTCCAATACGTATGTAGAAGAGTTTATATTTTCAATCGAAAGGCCCAAAATTAATTCTTCGTGGTATTAAAAAAAGTGCGGTGACTGGCATGTGGTTGAGTAGAAGAGTTGTCAGAGTTCAGCTGAGAGTTGTTTACGGCTTCACTACACCTTTAAGACGACGAGAAATGATGATTGAGATTCTCAGTTCTACATTCTTGATTGTGAACTTATCCTGGCAGAGTTGCGTTGGATGATTGAGTGGCATGGCCAAATCTCGTAGTTCATGTATTTCTTTATGTACGAGAAGCTAAATAAATTTTGCCAACAGATCATTCTCTCTTGATTTTGCGCATGTTGATATGCTTAAGTTCTTTTCTTCGTGCGATTTAATTTAAACTTTACCGTGGCGGGTAGTTTCTAGCAAATGAATCTTAGGCAGATGAAAGGGTAATTATCTTGTGTGTTTGGAATTCTCTTTCCATGACAGCAGTTACTACACTGCCTTCAGTTTGAGACCTAATTTAAGTGTGTTTTGTTGCAAAAAAAGAGGGAAAAATTATAAATTTTACAAACTACGCCACCCCTTGGAACAAGATTATGGTTGAAAAAAAGATTAGCTAAGTTCAGAAAATAAATCTTCAAGTTTGCATGTTTTGACAAGGACTACATCTGGCTAAATATATGCTTCCAAGTGAATGTATAAAGTCAGGAAAATGGTGACATTTCTATTTTTGCCTTTCCTTTGGCCACGGTGATCAGTTTTGGCCATACAGTTGCATGTAATTTTTATACTTTTGGACATCAACCTGCCAGGTTAGTTTGTGTCTGTATAAAAATGTAGTGAATGAAATCAAACCCTCTCAACTTAAAAATTACCTTGTACCAGTGGATATGCAAAACACCAAAGGATGTCTTGGAAAAAATGTAAAATGACTATTAAGATAATATTATTAATTTTGTAGTCAACAATAACAGTTAGAAACTTGTGTTGAGGCAGGGAAAAACATTTTTCAGAGACCATAGACCTTCACTGACTTTGCTGTTAAAACAAGTGGTAAAAGGGTATTAAAATGTGAGATCACCTCCCTGGGCTTGCACTGAAAGAGAGAATGGGTAGTAGGACACATTGTTCATTTCCCCCACCCTTTTTATGCCAAGAGACCTGATTTTATAACCCTGATTCACTTCAGTTAGCATACAGAATTAAGTTAGCTTTTAAACTTAGAAAGATCGAAAAACTTGGGGAAAAAATTGGTGGTACCAAAAATGTAACTACAGACTGCTCTTCATCAACCTTCACAGCCCCAACAGACACCCTGCTCAAAACTCAAAAGGGTGAAATGGTCACCACCCTAAATCAGCAGCACATACCCATCTAGGCCAAATAAGCCCAGGGTAGTATGTAGAAAGAACTGCTGAGGGGATTGAGCTCAAGGGACAATAACTTCTTTTGATGGTTGATAAAAAGTCAATTTTACCTTGTTTATTGTACTTGTAAATCAGATTCATAACTTACACAAACAATTGAAGTTGTACATTTTTCAAGGTCCTTCTGATTCTCTTTATAAACTTTGTAAAACGTTCAATTTTCTTTTTTCTGTTTCTTGTACTTCAGTCCATGGAGGGATTTCCTCAATGTAAACTGAGCACACCCCTCTCTGATGTACTCACTCTTATTAGCAACTGGATTAACCTCTTGTCCCCACACTCAGATTCAAGTATAATTCAAAACTATGGGGTAATTGTTGTACAAACAATTTCAAGGAATTACTTAAAACCGAAGTCACTAATATAAAACTACTAAATACGGTATTGCTGTTGGAGCTATTCATTGATTATTACTCAAACGATATTCCAGTGAAGGTTTTGAAGATTCAATAAGCCCTTTCCTGCAGCCTTTTGATATTAAAAATAGCTTATACTGACAGACCCAGTAAATGTGAGGCAAAGTGATTGGGAGATTTCACCTGGCTTTTACTAAATTAGCCCTGTATTCTGTATTTACGCCCACAAATATTTGTTGTGGCTCCCGGTGTACAAACAAACTTACGAACAGCGAAGTACAAAATTGGTTTAATGAACATTCCCATATGACTGTTGCAAGACTCACACTAATATAATGAGCTCGTAGCATATGTTTAGGATAAGGCAGAGAGTTCTTAATACCACCGTACGTGAAAAAATATATAAGAGATGGAGCAGGCTGCCCTGAGGCTGGTCGCTCGAAAATTCACGAAGCTTATAAATTGAACTGAACTTGCCAAGGTGCCGAATCACGATGAGCGAAGTCACTCATGAACTGTTCATACATCACGCCTCCTGATGTCCAAAGATTTCATGAAAAAAGTTCATGAAAACCTTTTCTCGATGTTTGGACGCCGTAAAACGTAAAACCGAGCGAAAACTCATCATCTTTCCATGTCCGCATACTCCGCAATATTTGTTTTGAAGGAAAATTGGTACTTAGTCTCACTCGGCCAAATTTCTTAACTGGGGCGATCATGTAAACTCGGTTCCAGACCTCGCTGCCAGCCCCCCCTGGCGGAATCCATTTCAAGTTTATAAGCTTAATATCTAAATTACTCCTCAACAGGTTGTTCAATTTGCCGTGCGTGTTAACACATACGATACAATATTGTCGGTGGCGTGGTAACCTTTTAATACTTAGCATGTCTATAATTAATGATGGCGTTGTGCAAAATATCAGTGCTACCCTGTCCTTTTTTTCCTCTCAGAAAGTGCTTGCTCGACTATTTTTGAAACAACATCTAGCAGGAACTTAAAATGGCGTAGGATGTGAACGTTGACGTGCAGAAGTTTTTGCATCCGATTATTCTAGAATAATGAAATAAAGCGCAATGACCGGGATGCTCATGAAAGCAAGGCGTAAAAAATCGATCGTTTTCCAGAAATTATTAAATAAAGGACAGTTTGACTATCGAAGTGTCGGTGCGACGTGCTCGGTGGCGCGCAAGTTCGTCTTCGCGGGAAAACAGATCGTTTTCACCACGTTTCCCCCCCACTTCGCTCTCATTTCCCCATGCAATCTAATTCACCCGCTAAACATGCCACACAAAGACAGCGAATGATTATTAAAACAATTTTAAAGAGTGTTTGATGCGTAAATGCGCAACTCTCTTGAAGCTCACAAAACACTGGTAAAGTATCAGCTGCTGCGAGTTAATTAGCTATTCAATTAATTTTCACCCCTTTACGGTTGTAAGAGCATGCTGGGTAATGAAGACAAGATGGTGAAAAAATGAAAAGTTTGTATGAGAATACAAAGTCATTTAATTCTTGCTAATTAAATATATTTGTCACTTTCCCTTTGAAAAAAATTTAACTAATGAGCTTAAAAAAACTACACACTAAACAGGGGCAAGAAGTCGAAAACGGGCATGAGCCCGCAAATTGACCGCTGACTGTCTCTGATTTCTGCCCATGAAACAGATTTTTCACAGAAAACAGTCATTGGGTGCCCCTGACTAAATCTGGAGTGCATAGCAGTCCGTTGTTGCTTTTTAGAAAACCTTAGTTCTTCCATACATTTTCTGTAATCTGACAACACAAAAATTACAGAAAAATTACGTCCAGTTGCCCCTGGGGCAACCACAAGACTTGGTTTGGTTGCCAATGGAATATTTTGGTTGTCCAAGTCGACCTCTAAGCCCAGTTCAATCCAAGATAGTATTAAAACACTGAGACAGCTCAAGTTATTAACAGAGTTAAGCTAATTAGTTTTTCACACCTCAATAGTTTCATGTTTTTTTTTATCCAGTCAAAAATCCCTTACAAATGTGGATTTATCTTTGCAAAACCGTCTGCGATAACTGTAAAACATTGCATTTTCTTTTGCAACAAATTGCAGCCACAATTGTGAAGTCCCTTGGAAGTAATATGCAAAAAGAATGGTGTGTGTGATGGAGACTCCCTCATGCACGTTGTTCTTTCTTGTGCTCATTACTATGAAGTCCTTCACAACTTTTTTTAGCTTTCTAATTCTTGCTCCTCTAATCTGCTGTAGCTTCATCTGTCTTCATGGATAATTTCCAAATCGAAGTACATACAGGAGGCTTAACATTTCGTATTTTACAACTAAAAAAATCAAACGGCTTTAGCGGGCAGAGAAAAACATGGCAGTAATACGGAGCACATCTCACTGCTGTGCATCAAGGACTAGGTTTACCTACATGAACTGCTGGTTAAAGCACATTATTAACTACAGGCTCATTCATACCAAACGTTGAGTGTGGAGTCTATTTTTTCCACATTTGTTAACTAACTTTTAGGTTCCATGAACCTTTCCAAGACAAAAAGCTGCAGCATTATTTATGTCTGTTTAGGGACTAATACCTCAGCAGATTGGGTTTCCAAATGGACATTCACTCAGCACAAATTTGTTACCCCATTAATACTTTTGGTTGTCATGGACAACTGGACAACTGATAAAAGCAATTTTGCTGTCACGCCAGTAAAATGTAGTTAATGGAATGTGACGCTAGTTATCAGTAACCCTTTCATGGTGGTTCCTTTTTCAATAAATTAAAGCAATTGTCTAGTCAAGCTGCCAAGGTCAGCAAGCTCTAAGATACATTGTATTCTAGTGTAGATCTTTACGGCCTTGTTGTCTCTAGCAGGCAAGTATGATTCACAGCATTGCCCAAATTTTTCAAAGCACTATTTATGGCTAGGAGTTTGCATGTGCAATGCTGAGCTGTCTTGTAGTACAGCCTTTTCTATTGGCTATGCCATCAGACGTTCGTCTTGCTATTAAGCCCAGAACAACTGTTCAAATCTCACTTAGGTTCTGTTGTTCAGCAAGGTTAGTGATCAGTATATTATTCTTGTAATTTCAGACCTTGGGAAACCAAATCAACTCATGAAGGCTGCAATTATTGTTTTATTTTTTGCTTAGTTGTGCTAATTACCAATCACTAATATTGGAATAACAACAATATATTATTATAATCATCTGTTTCACTGCAAATTTTATAGTTCTGGCACTCTCCAAAGGGTCTGAATCCTTTAAGCGGTTTAATCACAATTCTCCACAATATGCACAAATAATGGTTTGATTAGCTTTTGTTACAGTCAACTCTCTCTAAGATGGACACTATTGGGACCATCTGCAACATATACTGTCTGTCTTAAAGAGGTGTCTGGCTTATAAAGAGTGGAGGTAATGTGACACCATAATAAAAAAAAAGCCTGAACCAATTCGTAATGAATAACACATCTGTTTTAATGTGAAGGATATGAAATAATTCATTTTTGAACTGCGGTTGTGGATGAAAGTGAAGAATGACCATCGCAGTAAATTTTCCAATTTAAGCAATTGGAAAGAAGAAGCCTGGAAAAAAAAAATCAGGGCTTCAACGGGATTCGAACCCTTGACCTCCGCGTGACCTCTGTTTACTTGTGCAAAATGGTAAACAGCAAAGTGGACTATGTGGAATCATTTTCTCATTGTACAATCAAACATTCATATTTACAAGCTAACATTCATGGCCTTAGTGGTCTAAAAGTGTAACCATATACACTCTCAACTCAACTGGAAAGTGACTACAAAATAATAAAAATGCAGTATTTGTTTCTTTGAGCAGTGTGCAAAAAAAATCATGTCAGACAGGCTGGTGCTAGTGGATTTTGCTATTTTGCCAGTGAATTCTATTCTTAACTTGCCCAAAGGGTAAGTGAAGTTTCTTGGTGAATTCAAATTGCAGAAAAATTGTAATCAATCCTGCTCATCAAAAATATTTTTGGGCTAGTTAAAATTACTTTTGGGTCAGTACATGCTAGCTTCAGCTTGCCCAAATGGCGAGCTGTAAAACTGACTTTTTTGCTTCCTGTTGAGTAACAGCCCTTTCAACTGTGACTGGTTGTTTCCCGTACATCCTGTTCACGAACGCCTTTAGTCATTTTGCTTACATGTTTAATTGTTAGGTTGTTTTGCTTAGATGTATGACTCATGGGTTACCATCATTGTGTGGTTCCAGAAAATATCCATACCACTCCCACGGATGGTTCTTCCGATTAGACCCCCCCACGCCCTCGGAATTTCCGTTCCAGAGGGGTCATGTGTAACCCCCCACCCCCCAGGAATTTCCTATTTTCCTTTTCATGGCCTTTATTTGCCGCATTTAGAGATTATCGACCGTGTACTGCTTAAAATTAACTGTTCTCATCTTAAGACACAGTTTTTTTTATAATCTTTGGCCTATTTGTAATCTTTTACAAGACAATTTGTATTTCTTACAGAGCACGCTTGATAAAATGAGCAGTCTCTCTTTAGTCCATCCAGCGAAACAGGCGAGGCACTAAAACAGAGATTAATATGTTTAAGTCATCTCAAGAAAACATTTACAGCATAACTTCAAATTTGAACTATTCATTGAAATAAAACTATGCGAACATTTTCGAATTTCAAAACGAATCTTCTTACAGGCAAAGTTTATCGGTAAATCTTCTGCTTCCGGTCCTAAAGTTGAATTTCTGATACTGTACCGTAATTAAGTTTCAATGATGTACACGTCTAGTCTAAGTCAGTTTCATCTTAAAAGCAACATTAACAGCATAACTTCAAAGTTAACTATTGATTTAACATTAAACTGTGTGAAGGTATTCGAATTTCAAAACGGATCTACTAACAACTCTGAAAACTAACTTACAAACAAAGTTTGGCCTCGGGTCCTAAAGTCACCACAAAGTCGATGTTTGTAATTAATTTCAACTTTGAATGAATTACTCTTGCGGTTAAACAAATTTCAGGAATTACAAAAAAACTTATTTGGGTTATAAAATATGCAAACATTCATTTTGCGTCCCATATTTGCATCGATTCATGTTCAGAAATGAACATCGGTGAAACATGATCTATTTCATCGCCTAGCACGTAATCGAAAGTCTCCTCGACAAAGAAGAAACAGATCGTTAATATTTTCGGGCAAAAGTTGATTTGGCGAGAAGTCTGTTCGACAAACAGCTTGCCTTCAACGGTACTTTATTAAAAGTCAATAATAAAATACAGGAAAGCTCTCATTTGGGTCATCACGCAACGCTTTGTCGCGATGAGCTCCGTGAATGTCAACAGAAATTTGCTTAAAGTTGTTTACACGAAGCTCGAGAAATATAGCGCCAAGATAGCCGACGTTTGTTCTCGATTGCCCTAAGTTTTTATCACACTAATCTGCAATCGAGTCCGCACTCTAGATACATGTTCGACATTATTAACCGATGCGCTAAAATAAATTCCCGGAGAAGCAAGGGACCCGTTGAGAATTGCGATTGATTTGCCCGAAGGATAGCCTGCGAAAACATTCGTTTCTCCTCGCTCTTCGCCGATGTTTATTTAAAGACTTCGTCAAAGTGATCGAAACGAAACATTGGACAGACTGGCCGTTTAATACATCTATAAGTTTTTTCTTGAAAGGGCATCTATTTCTGATTTTTGTGGTAATACAAATCAAAATAATCCACATAAACTTAAGTATGACTCGTACGATCGTTCGCGTCTTTTACAACCCCATGGAAAATTCTTCTCGTGGACAACCCCCATACCCCTCGGAAATTTCTACCCTTTAGCCCCCCCACCCGTTAGGAATTTCCATTGACCATCCGTGGGGAGGGTATGGATATTTTCTGCAACCACACATTGGGTGTTATCAACATGTGTTTGTTGTATTTTTTACTTAATAAATGTTTACATAAGGCCATGCTTGACATCAAATTGAGTATGGTACTTAAACTAAAATATTCACAGTAGATCATCTAAGCGTCCTGATTAACTACAGGCCAGAGTTTGCAGTCAATCTTTATTAACAGTCTTTACTTTTGCATTTACTAGCAATATATAATGAACTTAAATCAAAAGAAAGCTCATTATTCTGAGATAACGCTATTTATCACAAAATGATTTGATTCACAACTGTAAATATATTAGTCAAAATGAACCTTTTTCCTTGCATCGATTCTGGAAATAAAGTACAGCCACACCAACAAGCTGGGCTCCGCAATGTGACAAATGCAAATTTTGGCAGTGGTACGGGCCCAGGGGCCCCACTCACATATTTTAATGACGAGGGGGTCCGACAGAGGTTCATATTTTATACCCAAAAAAATCCCAACTTCAGAATTTGTGTATCCAAAAAAATCCCTACTTTTTTAGCATACCCAAAAAAATCCCTCAGTGTTTTTGCATCAGCAAATTTTATTATTTATCTTCTGGAAAGCTAAAACATGCCAACTTCAACTTTGGTTTTGGTCAAAAACAAAACTATAAATTGTGCTTATGATTTGAGCTGATGAAAAATGCAATACCCAAAAAAATCCCTGTTGGCCAAAATGTCAGACCCCAAAAAATCCTTCGGACCCCCCCGTCATTAAAATATGAGAGTGGGGCCCCTGGGGATACGGGCATTGACTAAACCACCTACCACTATCTGGCAGTCGTATCCTTAAAACAGTCAATTCTTCAACATAAAAAACAAAACAGACGTAAGAACAGGGGAAATTGATATATTGACATTTTTATATGTAAACTAGATGTAAGAACTGAAAATAAACATCATGCACCTGATGTTTTTCTACTAGGGTAAGAACCTTGAGGAAATTTTGTTCTTATTCATTGGGGAAACAATCCCAAACCCTTCTAAGATTTACCGGTAACCAAAATGACTTATAACATGTTGAGGAAATGACTTGTAACACATTAGCAAAACGACTTATAACACGTTTGCAAAACAGCCTAACATGTAAGTGAAATGACTTAAGATGTTAGCAAACAGGAGGTTAAGGCAAAACAAGTTGTTGGCAGAATGACCATAAACCCTTATAATTCATGCAAAACAAACTGTGATAAAGTACTGTAAGTACTTAAGCATATGAAAATCAGTCCATCATATTGGTTTCCTTTTTGTGGGATCAGTTGAAGTTCTAAAGGCTACAAGAGTTCAGCTAAAAGACCAAGACGATAACTGTTTTACAGGTTGGCAGATTCTCTCCATGTGGTGTGTAGAAATGACAATAATGGTTTCAATTACATCTGAGCCGTACGTGATGAATACTGTATTTGGTTAATTCCCCTAATTACAATTTGTCATGTAGGGTACCTAAATTTCCATTTTGAGGTATTTTTCACTACATAAAACACTTCTTAAGTGTCCACTGATGGTTTCAAAAGTGTTTGTTGTACTCTGTCTCGGAGAGGTGTACTGCTGTCTTGTAGAGAGCACAGTTACAGATGAGTAAAAAAACAGCAGTGACCAACACCAAGATGGGTTAGTGTCCATCTTATGGAGGTGTCCATTAAGAGAGAGTTGACTTTATTTTGTTTCAGTGTGGAGCAGAGAAATGGTTAGGCCAGGGGCAATAAGGGAGGTTCTTTGCACAATTTACGATAATTATAATGAATTCTGGTAAATTATTAATATATATATTTCCTGCTTCATGGGATATAACATGGATGTGTAAAAAGATCTTGCCTTTTTTAAAACCTTAAGACAGAATCCACCAGGAAATTGAGTAATTTTAATTTTCAGTGGACAGAAACCTTGTAGCAGAATAATTCCGTGGGATGCCTGTGGCACTCCCACGGTAAAAATCCGGTTCGGTTGTACCCAAAATTGCAAAGCCAGCCAATAGGATTGCGTAAAATCTTTATCGATTATCTCTTCTTCCAAGCCGACCAATCAGATTGTACAAAATCTGTATCGATTTTTAATCGATTTGCTTCCTCTGAAGAACGTTGAAATCAGAATGTTCCTTGCCAAATTTGTCGCGCTTGAGTTTTCCCACTCATGGTTTAGGATGGCTTGTTAACCAGCGAAATCCTTTGGGATACTGGCAAGTCACGAAAGGCGACCTAAGCCAAATTATTTCTTTCCTTCATGATTCTTTTTTGTTTAGGTCTAGCTTTTTCGTAAGGTTTTAGTAGCGTCTGGTTGACGTCAATTGCGGGCCGTGATTTCCGATAGATTTTTCTATTTGGAGTTCGCCAGTTTTTGCTGAGCACAGCCAAAGTTCAGTTTTTTTCTTTTCTTATCGAAAACACCTTGACGATGGGAGGTTAAATCGCGTAAAATTCAACTCGTACCCTTGACGATTGGCGTTGAAATTGCGAAAATATTGTCCTCGCTGATCGACGACTCGTTTTCGGCATGGATTGGACTTGTGGATGGGACACGGATCAGGACATGAGTAAATTCTTATACCTTGGAATCAGGGGTAATCATTGGAACTATGTTAACTTTGAGACCTTGGAAACACATTGCAATTAATTTTTAACCGCATCAAGAGCATCTTGGAATATTAAACTTTCATCTTGGATTAAAACATTGGAACTTTATCGAACTTTGTAACCCTGGGTGCGACCCTGGATAAAGCAAGTGGATGTTTTGTTTTGTTTTGTTCCATTAACCTAGATGGAACGCCATTATGCTTCCTTAGACCAACGCATCCCACGGAAACGACTTTAGGCGTCTTGTTTAAAGCATATTCCATTCCTTTTTATATTTTTCAAGGGCTAAATATGTAATTAGTCATGACCAAATTAAGAAAATTTCTTACGGGAGCCCAAGAAAATGAATATCAAAGTTCACAAAATTACATCTTTCACATTAAATTTTCAGAATTTTACGTGTGTTTTCACAGTTCTTGTGAAATTTGACATTCATTTTCTCGGACTCCCACACTGGTAGCCCAAGCTTGAAACATGAGCATCAGCAAGCATCGGCATTGTTGCATAACATTCAAAATATAAGGATTTGTATCAAGAAAAAACCTATCGTTTCTGTAACCTACGAAAATGAAACGATTTCAGCAAGAAACAGCTCACCATACTTAAAATGTGTGTTACGTCTCTCTAGTCCATGGGCCAATTTGGGGCCATTTTGTGGGTTTTTATGTAAACTGTTTCCTCTCTATATTTAAGGTTTACCAAGAGACTCCAGCGAAGTGGCCTGAAGGATCCACCAAAGCAAAACTGCTGTAAATTCGCTCCATTAACGGCTCCAATCGCCTCCAAATTCTGCCTAGGTAACGCACAATAGCTCTGCTTTCTATTTGTGATCTTTCTTCAAGACACATTTGCACCGAGAGTGAATCAGCAACCTCAACAGAACCTCGGTCTGAACTCTGTATTACTGTTGAAAGATAGCGACCTTACTTGAGACTCAAATTACTCACACTTGGGGTGGGATACAGTCTCTTGCTCCTGTTGTTTTCTTTCTCAGGGGTATTGAAGTCAACGAGAGCAAGCTAGAGACTGTCTCCCACCCCGAGTGTGAGTAATTTGAGTCTCAAGTTGGGTCTCTATCTTTCAATGGTAACACGGAGTTCAAACCAAGGTTCTGTCGATGGCCTCAGACGGGAAGGTTTGCAGAGATTGGTGACCTTTGATTTGCTCTCAGTGCAAATGCGTCTTGAAGAAAGATTACGAATGGAAAGCAGAACTATATGGTGCGTATATGGAATTTGGAGGTGATTGGAGACGATGGAGCAATTTACTGCCGTTTTCCTTCGGTGGATCCGTATCGTCCGCTTCGCTGGAGTCCCCAACCTTGGTAAAGCTTACATAGAAAGAGAAAACCGTGTACAGTACAACCCACAAAACCACCATAAATCAGCCCATGGACCACACAGGAGAGATGTAACACATTTTATGTAAAGTAAGCTGTTTTTCATTGAATTTTTTTCATTTTTGTAGGTCACGCAACAATGCTGATGCTCATGTATTTCAAGCTTGGGCTACATCCGTGGTTACATTTTGAATCTTACTCACTGAAACCTATAGACTTAATTTTTTTCCAGCTGTATTTTCTTTTCTGCCTTCATTTTTGTAGAATAAGAATTTATTAAAATTAAAGTTTAGGCTAAATAGGTTCTTATGAAAAGGGGGTTTAAAATGAAAATTTTGGCGTAGCAGGTTCGTAAATTTTAGGTTCTTATATGTGGGTTTTTATGGTATTTGAGATTTTAGCAACCTATGCAGTACCAAGCCAAATTTTAACCAGAAAAAGGTACAAAGAGCAGCCCCTTCATTTTATATAGAGTGGGTCACCCCCTTCCCACAGTAGCGTTGAGGGAAATGCTGAAAAAAAAAATTGAGTATTTTGGCAATTTTGTCTTTAGGGGGGTGTAAGGGCACAAAGCAGTCAACTCCCACAACTGTTGCCAAACCTGACTCCTCAACTGCTTTACAAGTGAATTTAAAATGTTTCCATAGGGAGAAACCAAAGTTGCCATGAGCTGTCAGTTTTAATAAATTAATAAATTCAATAAATTCATAAATATAATCAAATAATTAAATAGCCCGGCTAGCACAATAATACATGTAGACCCAGTAGTTTACATTGTGTTCCAGTTTGCTTTTCTGATTGCTTTAATACCAAAATATTTGTCAAGGATGTTTATGGTTAATCTGCATGACATTTCTCTCTTAATTAAACTTATACGACGCAACTGTTAACTTTTTTTCTTTTCTTTTTTTCCTTTCTCAGGTCATCCTAGTTTACGGGTCTCACATTGTTAGCTGCAAGCGAAAAACGCCAAGGCATGATGAAATTGAAAGGGTGATTAATGAGACTTATTCTGTGATCTGGAAATGCTCTGTTTCAGAGTGTCATCCAGGAAGTGGATTGAGTTTTCTCTGTGGTACTAGAATCCCCTTCAGTGAATCAATTGAGTGTGTTTACTGTGTGAAAGGGGTGAATTTCTCTGATACAAATGACTACTCTCAGTGTAAAAGCTGTAGAAAATGCAGTCCACATGAAAAGTCATCAGGACATTGCACCACCACAGAGGATACGACCAGGTGTTTGAAAATATGCGATACGGGTTTTTATTGGAATAAAATAACTGACTCGTGTGATCCATGCAGTGACTGCTGTGAACAACCATCCACACATCATGAGAAGCAGTGTGAGGATTCTGGTCTTCCAGTGTCACATCAGTGTCGACAAACCCATGTCAAATGTCAGCATCGTATGGTCAGCGTCAAAACTCCTCAACTGGTCCATAATGATGAACAAAATGGTCTTTCGTCTTCTAGTACTACTGGCATCATAGTTGGCTGTGTTTTAATGGCTTTGATTGTTCTTGGATTTGTATTTTGGAAAAAGTGGCATCTTGTCAAGGCTATTCTTAAAAGTTGCTGCTGCTTCAGTCAAGGAAAAGCAAACACTATTTATTTCTTACCCAACCAAGAAGATGAGGAAGCTGACTTAGAATCAGGCCCTTGCTTACCAGTAAATGGAAGCGGGAGTGATGTACATTTAGGAGAGGTTTATAAAAAAGGACTTTTGACATCAGGTTAGTTCCAAACTCATGTGTGCAAAATCTTAAGCAAGCAGAGATTCTTAGACCTGTTTCAGGGTAGAATGTGTGGTTCTGTACTTTATACAAAGGTGGCTCGACGCAGTATTTAGCGTAGCATCAAACTTGGTTGCCCTCCATATAATCTATTCACTATTGTTTTCTCCCATACGACAGAATTACCAAATTTCAGAAAGATTTCAGAGGGCAACCCTAGCGCTGTAAATTTCTTGCGTGCTGCATGGGAATTTGATGTTGTACTAAACTCAAGACAATAGGAAATCCCAGAGCAAAAACTTAGCCAGATCTATAACATCGCTTCCATGTTTACCCAATATTGTGCCTACGTTAGACAACTCAAAAAGTTTTCAATGGACACGAAATTCAGGGATTTTATAGTACACTGGTCAATTGCGGCACTGAAATTTTTTAAAGAAAATCTATTGCCAAGTTTTGGTTTAATCATTGCATTTTAGTGAAAGTGATAATAAGCAGGGAGGGGGATAAACATTCAATAAATTTTAAAAGGTTAAGAAAATGAATAAAGAAAAAACAAATAGGAATAAAATCGTTAACGTTAATTGGTTGGCAAATTTGCATCTGAATAAAATAAGAAAAAGGGGGATCTGCGCTTTCAGGTGTTTACTCGCAATTTTCGGGGGTCAGTGTTTTCGGGTCTTCGTTTTCAGGGGTCTTCGTTTTCGCTACAACAAAATGGCACCTTCTGCAGAGCTAACAACATCCAAGAGAAATTTTAAGGAGCCTCCCTTTATATCATATTGCAAGAGAAAATCCTTTAAAGACCTTCAAGTGAGAACAAAACAATGATCATGTGGATCAATATAGGAATTCTTTACGAATTTTTTTTCTGATGAGTTGTTTTGGCCTTGCGTGTTTTCGGATGCCTCACATGGTGGCCTCGCATGGCTAATGCTGGCTTGCACACTGTACTTCTCCACTATTGACATACAGTGTCTTACTATAAACTAGATTGCCTCCAGTTTGATTTTGGAATTTCAGGCTCTGCACTTAATTGGATTGAATCGTATCTTTCTAACAGAACCCAGTGCATCTATAAAAATGGCTTTCTATCGAGTAATTTTAATCTTAAATTTGGAGTTCCAAAAGGCAGCTGTCTCGGGCCATTATTGTTTTCCCTCTATGCTAGCAAACTTTTTAAGATCATCCAATCTCATCTTCCTAATCCCCATTGTTATGCCGATGACATGCAACTGTATATCGCATTTAGATCAGGAAATTATATGGAGGAGACAGCTGCTATAACTGCCATGGAATCATGTATTGCTGTTATCAGTCAATGGATGCATTCGGATAAGTTAAAACTGCATGAATTCGGTTAAGACAGAATGTCTTCTGATTGGAACGCGACAACAACTTCAGAAAGTCAGTAACATCAGTACCTTATCGGTCGGGGACTCCTAAATTGCTCCATCATGTATAGTTCAACACCTAGAAACCTGGTTTGATTCTAAAATGAGTAAGCTAAGTCATATCAACAAAACTTGCTCGTCCACTTTCTATTATTGTTATAACATGCGTAGAATTAGGAAAGATTTGAGTCGTTCAGTCACCGAATCATTAGTTCATGCTTTTATAACCAGTAGAATAGATTATTGTAACAGTCGACTATTTGGCCTCCTGAATTCACACATCATGAAACTCCAACGGAAACAGAATGCCGGAGCTTGGTTGGTCACTGGAACACCAAGATTCTGCCATGTTACACCGTTGCTTTTCCACCTTCATTGGCTTCCGATAAGTTACCGTATAAAGTTTAAGATTCTACTTTTGACATTTAAGTGCTTACATGGTCAAGCTCCCAATTATTTAATTGATTTAATTACTATCAAAAAGCAATCCAGGTACTCTCTAAGGTCAAATGAGTCTATATTCCTCGAGTTACCAGGCATTAAGACCCATCCAACTCTTGGTGATTGTGCATTCCAGTCAGGTGCACCTTATCTCTGGAATGCATTACCTTCGGCAATTCGCAACATGAAGACATTAGACACTTTTAAGACTGCTGTTAAAACTCAATTTTTTAGCTTTTAATTAATTGTTGGCTTTTACTGTAGGTTTTTTTTTAATAGTTTTTAATACTTTTTATTATAGTTTTCATTATAAGTTTCTCGTGCTTTAGTCACCTTTAACATAAATTTAACATAACATTATTGTCAAGCGCAACCGAATATATTCATATAGAGATTTGCGCTATATAAATGTAAATTATTATTTTATTATTAAAAGTCAATTCATGGTGCAATTATACATCTATTCATCTAAAACATGTCATATAATTTATTGTTCTCTTGTGTTTAATTAAACATGTATTTAATGTTAATTGTTGTTGTGCTGTAGTGTGCAAACCAAATTATTGAACTAACATTTTAAGGTTATTTGAAAAAAAATGCAAGTGTTACAATGTCCATAGTCTAATCCAATGTTCTGATCATCAGGTGTGCCAGGTGCAAGCAGGCCAGGTTATTATAGGGGACTATCTGTTCCCCCGGAATCCAGATCAGACCCACCAAAGGCCAAAACTGCATTTCACAGGTCAAAGTCTCATCCAGGTTGCGTTAAAGATGATCCAAATGAAGGAACATTGAAAGAAAATGGTCTAAACAGCCCAAAGAAATGTCACTCCAGTTGGAGAGAAAAGAAATTTGCCAAGAAAGGATATAGTAAGTACATTTTATTGGCTATCAAAAAACCAACAATAATCAGGAAACAGCGAGTTCTCCAAAAGAGAATTTTGCACTAACACTTATAATAATGCTAGCCGGTTCACTCTGGTCCTAGAATCTAAGAAATCTTACTAAGTCTGTTTGATCATGAAAACAAAATCTATGTCCAAAATTTCAGTTTTAACGTTATGCAGGTTTAATGATTGTTGCTAATGTTTTCCTTTCTTTTCTCCCCATTTTTTGTTATCTGCATGTATATCCAGCTTTTAATAAATCTTTAATATATAAATTTAGCCGGGACTAAAAGCGAAGCTCTGGTTTATAATATTTATAAACGAAAAAAATTAAATTGTGTAATGCTAAACAGGGACGGCAGTGAAAATGGCATCAAAATGAATAGATCTAATTAACAAAAAAACAAATTGCACGTGCAGCTACACCTTTTTGTCTTTCTTTGCCGTTCTTTTGCACAACTACAACGCTGTTTTGTACGACTAAAACACCAAACTTCCTAGTTACACATTTTTTTTATTGTCGTATGTGCTTACCCCATATTTTGTTTCTTGTATTTCTGGATTTGCAGTTTGTCAGCAGAAAGTAACCAGAGATACTGTGAATTTTGTTTCATTTTTACAAGTGTTTTTGACCTATCTTGTTTAGTGTCAAGAAACTGAACAAGATAGGTCAAGGTAGTGTGACAGTGAAACTGCGGTGATGAATGCAGAGACCATTTGTCAGGACAGAAATTTAAAGCCATTTTAAAACATGTTGAAAAAGCAAGACATGGATAATTTTCAGTTTGGAGGAGAATATATCCTTTAGGTTACAGTATTTTCCAACAAGAAGTTGGGGATCTTTTTTAGAGATTTGAAGTTAAATACTAGTATTTTGCAACAGTAAAATGTGCACAACAAAGCTGAGCAAGATACTACAAAATTTTTTGATACTCATGCAATGAATTCTAGTACGAAACCGTCAGGACGGAAACTGGCGAACCCAAATTTGAGTTATTAGTCTCGCTTGCATAAGCAGCAAGACTCATTGTGCCAGGCATTCCTTGCGGAGACCGTGGAAACTGGTATTAAGAATTGTTGCATGATCAAAACCACTCATGTTTTGCGAAGAAAGCTTAGGAAATATTAAATTTAGAGCTTTTCCAAAACGTGTCGGTCCACAAATTCTATTGCTTGAAAGCGTTGATTACTTTGGGACAAGTGAACACTACTGAGTGGTTGAAAAAAAATAAAGATCTTAAAGTAGGAAAACTGCGTTGGTCGGGTGTTGTAAAGTTTCATTGTATGCAAATGGGTCTTGTGATGAGCATGCGCCTTATTTTCAGCGATGACTGAAATGACGTGCCATGTAAATCACTTTTTTGATCTCTGGCAATGATGTGATTTCTCTGGAATCGAGGCCCTTGAATTTTCGTGGATTTATACACGCGTTAAGCCTGCAACCACAGACATTATAATTTCTGGTTGTTACTAACACGTGCACTAAATCAATTCAGAAACAAAGTTAAAAAAGTATAGTTAATAGACGTCGAGAAAGTAGGAAGTAAAAAACCTTTAGCGAGTAAATCCTGTTTCGTGTAGAATTAATCGCCTCCTCATCTCTCGATCTAATCTCCAAGCAAGCAAGACTGAATGCCGCTCAATGATGCAAGAGCGTTCTTGTTAATTTATAAAAAAAACCAGCAAAGAATTGCCTAATATTAAAGTTGAGCTTTCAATCACAGCAAATTCTTTTTTAGGATCGAGTAAAACGTGCTGATGTGGTCAATCTATTTTTAGTTCCGCTGAAGGTTAGCAAATAAAGTAAACACGAAATGAAGCAAGTACATTTTGATTTCTACAGAAACCTTTATTCACAAGAGATAATTGATTTTTCAATCAGGTGAGAGCTTTTAAACGAAAATGGTAAGAGAAATGTCCTATTTTTGCCAAAAGAAAGTTTCTGGTGATTTTATCGATAGACTTGCGTAGGGAAAGTTTCACACAAGTTCACTTTTCTATGAAACTTGATACTTCTAACATGAGTATCGGATTTCAGGACAAACATTTACTATATGTAAACATTATTTTTTAAAAACTGTTTTCATTGTAGGAACAGGGAACAAATTCTCTTTGGTTTCTGAGACTGATTTTTTTAAAAAAAGATATTGGGAGAGTGGAGCTTCTTTTGATTATTGAGTTAACTTACATTGTACTGATACATTTCTTAGTTTATGCATATTATCTGTCATAAGCACAAACATGACTGTGTCATGAGAGTTACAATGTAGCATGACCAAAGTTTGTTTCAACTCTTTCCTGTTTTGTCATCAAACATTTAAAGTTGCAGTCTACATTTGGAAACCCTTTGCATGTTTCATATCTTGTTAAGAAACATGAGTTTCTGAACAGATAGTACTTGTATGCCAGCCAATTTTTAAATGCAAACACCAACACATTTAAGTTAACAACCGTTTAGAACCCTGTTTAAATGTTGTAATGAATATTTCTGGTAACAACTTTAAATAGAATGCAAAGTAGGATACAGGAAGCATAATTCCTTTGAAATAACCGTGGAACACAGCTTTAGATGATGTACTATAAGAGAATGATCTACCACAGGGTGCCCACACAATCTATTTGTGTAACCGATGTAATTATGGTAAATGCACCATATTTACCGTTTGCTTCATCTGTAGCGGTATATGCTGCTGGATCAATTCTAAATAAACAAAGCGTTACCTTTCTTATGGTAAATTGTCGTCTTTTTGCCTCATGATCAGAAGTGGTATTTTGAATGATTTTAAAGGATTTTGAGTTAACGTCATCTACTGTTTCTTTAATAGAAACAGTATGAACAGCAAACTCACAATCCTTCACGTTTACCATAAGATTACATCAGTTACACGAACAGATTGTGTAGGTGCCCTGTGTATCTACATGCATTGATTAGCAGTAACCACATTTTATCACTTTAACTGTGTGTTACAGGGTTGATTGTTTACATTGTACCTCTTTAAATCAATAAAAACCTTTTTGAAATAAACAGAACTATTTTATCCATGCTTAAATCAATAGTGGCATCAGCTAAGTAATCAAAGTGGACAAAAAGCATATTCCAGATAAACCTATAAATATTTTTCAATCTTTACTTTCTCTTAGTTGCTGTACCGACTGATTCAGATCTTCCTGATGTTACATTTGAGGGAACAGCTGATATGCCTAGTATGTATTTAGTTATTGCTATTCAACTTCAGGCATTTCCACAACAACTCCAAACAGGAAGTTAAAATTCATTCATTGCCCAGTATTCCTTAGTATGGGTGGGGAGGAGTTGGGGGATTGGGGGGGGCAGGGGGGTTTGCAGAACAGCCTTACCAAACTTCTATTCAGTAAATTTCTTACCAGGTATCATGTTTTTGAGTTATGATAATTTTACAGATATTTACTGAAACATACCTTGCAGAATAAGATACATGTAAGTCAGCCGTAATTTGTTGAAACACTTCCAGAAAAAAAAAAAAACAAGATTTACCGGTAGTTGTTGCCTTGGTTTGGTGTTGTATTTGGGCATAAACATCTTCCAAATCAACTTTGATGGAGAAGGGAAGAATGAGAAATTCCAAAGGATTTTCCACAATTATGACCTGGCCCCAGTTGTTCAAAAGGTCAATAGCGCTATCCAGCGGATAAATCTCTATCCAGTGGAGAATGCAATTGGTTTCCCTAATACTTATCCACTTGATAGTGATTTATCCGATGGATAGCGCTATCCAGCTTTTGAACAACTAGGGCCAGGAATTTAGCTTTTTGAGAATAAATATGTTTGTCCTAGTAAACTCATGATCATGCCAGCATGCATTTCTAAATTTTACTATGACAAAAGATGTGCAACTGCAATAGTGTATATAAATTCCTATTTACAACTTTGTCGAGGCATGCAGTCATTTAAGTTTTGAAGAAGTAGGCTTAGCAACTTTCATGAAACATTTGACTTTATGACCTTTTAGCTTTGTTTTGTTGGTGGTGTAAGGACACCAATTTGCCCCTCGCCGTCCCACAGTAAACTGTTTTGTGACTTCTAACTTAGATCTTGAGCCTCAATTACAACTTCCAATCACAACATTGGTCTACAACAGTAGAGTTAGTGTCCTCATAAGCGAGAGTCTGCTGCTGTCAGTATTATCAGGGTTTCCATTATAGCGGGGTGTCCTAAGGAAGGGGGGGGGTTCTGAAAGCTATTTTAAATGCCCCGAGGTCCAACCCCTTACCTTTTTTATATAACAGTTTTGGCAAAAAAGGTTCCTCTTTTGTATACCTTCTGTTTACAAAAAGGGGTACCCCTTTCACATACCTGGGTTTAATCCATTTTAGCTGCTGTAAATAAATGCACTGTCTTTTAAATATGAATAAATCATAAGACCAGAATGTCTTGTCGACTTTCAAGCAGGCATTAAATACAGCTGTTTAATACCCCTTTTTGCCCTTTTTTACTTACTGAAATGACAGTTTTCCCTACCCTTTCAATATAGTTTTTAACTAGTTAAAAACCCTACCTTTCATGTACCATAAGCCTGAAAAGGGTACCCCTTTCGGGTGGAGCCTCCACATGTAGGCCATTATCTAGAACACCCAGGTGGTGTCCGCAAGGCTAGAGTTGACTGTTTTTAGTAAAAATCAACCCACCTTTTGAAGTTTAGTTGTCCTTTAGAGCATTCTTATCAGTTGTGAATGAGGGTTTATATGTCATCATTTATAGCAATACAGTGAGTTAAGCACCTCTTCATATTTGTTATTAACAGGAGAGAATAAGCCTAAAAATCAGTGCTCGTTCACTGTTGGGCAACAGCACCAAAGTACTTCAACAACAGGCCTTGATTACATTCAACACACTACCACCACAATAGCATCAGTGCCAGAGCATTTCCAGAACAACCTCTTAACAAGAAAAATGGAAAAAATCCCAAATAAGTTTTATAGGAAAATTTGTATAAAGCTGGACAAACTAAGAGATTGCTTTTGGGATGATTATCGGTCGTTGGGTGAAGCAATTGGTCTTGAAAAAGACGTGGTATCGTACTTGGGTCAGATTGGAAATCCAACACGTCAAATGCTGGAGAAGTTTGATTCTCAAGAAGGTAGCTCCATCAGGAAATTTAGAGATATTGTCAAAAAAATGGGAAGAGATGATGTTGTGTCTATTGTCAAAGATTGGATTGTTGATGAGTGGATAAAGAGCAATTATTCGTTATCCCAAATGTAAGCTTATGACTTAAGGGAAAGACTTGTTTCATCATCCACCAAAATTCATTCTTAAATTTCAATGATGATTTTAAAATTGCACCAGCTGAAGGGCATGGTTGATAACCTTTCTGTAATGAATAATAATGAAACCCAGTATGAATTTTGACTGAAAAATTACTTGTCAAAAAAAACATTCTATAATTCATACAAATTCTACCAGCTTAAAAGGATCTTGTCATAGTGACAAGACTCTCTTTGTTTTCATTTGAAGTAGGGAAGTATCCATTTAATCAAGAGGTAAAATTAGCTATAGGCAATTGTAGCTTACCTGGAATATGCAAATTTTTGGCCTTTTGCCATTATAATCAGCTACGCGTTTTCCCAAACACAGTTCTCCACTTTGCTCTGTAGAATATCTTTTGCCCACTTAGATGTATATATTTGATAGAATGTGGAAAGGGCAATTTGTACACAACGAATTTTTCATCAAGAAACTTATTTAAATTGGTACATATTATACAGGGTGATGTATGTTTTCTTGTATGCCATTTGAAATCGCACCGTTGATATATTTAAAACAGTTGTGCACATGTCCTCGAGAGTAATTTTTGATACGGGTCTGTATTTGCATTTTAATTTTTTAAAATTTTGTAAAGATGCCTTCTTTTTCTTTGGAGACGTAGGTATTTCATTTGGTCATTCGAAAACAGTTTCAAAGCAAATATGCATTTGTTCTCTGAAAATATTTCAAAATATTATTCTCACAAGTCGCTCTTTTACGTTCTTTTTAATGTTTTTTATGACAAATAGAGGAACCCACAGAATGACAAGGAATACTTTATTCAAAAACGCTCCCTTTAATATTGTTAATAAGTAATTGGTAATTTACCGTTTAGAGTTGTAACTTCTATATATTAATTCTACGATTATTAATTAACTAATATTTATTGCCTTAACATTTTCCAAGGCGATGTCTAAATGCTGTTCAAAACAAATTATATATCTCTATAAAATCATGTTATAATTCAGACCAGCAGCGATGAGTTCTTCCTAGTAATGCTGAAGTTAGCTTGTTCGTGAATCACTTTAACATACTTCCAATTCTTTGAGGTCTCTTTTAGTATAGTTTTGTTTGTTTTTCTTTCTTTCTCGTAGATATTAGCTTTTATAGCTACTCTGAAAATCCGAGGTTTAGATAAAGGTGATATGTATATGATTGTAAATGCAGAACATTATGAAAATGAACGTTAGAGTTGTGTAGCACGTTGCATGAACTATCATTGCTGGTCGGAAATAATACATGTCCTATGGTAGTGGCATTGTCACAAAGTTATTTTGACTTAAAAGATAGTATAGCTTTCAATTTAATATAAAAGGCAATACTGATAATATTTTTCTATACTGGCCCATATAGAAACATTAGAGGCAGTTATCTCTGTTTCTTGTGTCCTGTACGGTTTTTATACATGCTTTAAAGCCCTCTCCAAACGGACGCAACATTGTCGGATGTTACTTGTTGCGTGCGTTTGCACACCCTGTTGCATGTTGTCTATGTGTTGTTTGGAGTTGTTGCACAAAGTTTGAAACCGGACCAACAAGTATTAGGGCCGTGTTACCAGTAGCCTTCCCCGCATACGTTCTTTTGGTTCGTCAGGCAGGAACGCGTGACCAACCCCTCCTAGGAACGTCTGCATGAGAGGCTATGTTACCGGTAACTATTATGTTTTTATGTTTATAACATTTTATGAGTTGTCCCATATTTTTTTTTTAATTTGATAATTTTTAGTACGTATAATCCAAGTAGCTGTAACAACGTATTCAAATATATTTTTAAAGAAATATATGTATCGTGTCATTTTTTGTCGTCCAAACTTAAACACGCTGAAGTGCACATTGGCCCCTCGCCGTCTTTTCCTTACTGTTATACCCGCTATAATTTTTTCTAATTTTATATGTAAAGAATGGGCTTCTGGTGCGAAGCTTTACCTTCTGATACAGTAAAAAACACGCGAGAAAGAACCAGTTAGTCTGGGCGCCTTCCATACAAGAACCTGGCTTATTTTCTAACTGAATATGAAACAAAATTATCAAAATGCACCTCACAACATCCCCGAATTATCGGGTTAGGCAATAATAAACATCCCTTGACAAACCAATAGGCCGATGACGGCTTCACAATCTTTGCCACTAATCATTCATGCCCCCTCTGAATAAAAGAAATAAATAAGGATTTAGAGAAAATAAAAAGCATTTCCAAAATCCAATCGACCAGGAGCCTGAGTTGTAATCAAAGAAGCACTATATCTGGATGTGCTACCTCCAAATCCTTATTTATTTATTTATTTCATTTTGATATTTGTGTCTCTATCACCAAGTGATATCTACAAAAATGTATTTTTCATTTTAATCCAACTGATTTGGTAACTACTAAAACAATTATCCCCTCCAGTGTCGGTGCATAGCGCCAGATACATAACTTTTCTTGTGAATGCTTTGCTTTGACATCGAAAGATTAGGGGCACCCAACGAGAATATATTTCAAAACCACTTAAACATAGCATTGTTGAACGTATTTTAGTATTTAAACGGTAGATATAGTCATATTGTTATCCCCTAAAAATCAGGATTTCCTAGCTGAAAGTCTAGTGATCCGAAAATTATAGGGATCAAAACTTACCTTTTCGAAAATTTCAGCCAGAAAAAAGGCTCCCGAAAATTCTAGGTGACCTTGTTAGGGTAAAAATTTATTAAAAATAGGCAATTATATCATTTTTTTAGATGTTTGGAAATCCTAGGGGAGGCAGGCAAGCAAGAAATTTTACAACAAATGTTCCGAAAAATTCTAGATCTCAAATCATCTTCCGATCAGATATTTTTCAAAGCTTGACGTTGGGTGCCCCTGAAAGATGCTGTTTTCAAACATTGCCTGCAACAAAACTGACACTGGTTCTTCCGCGGGCTCTCAGTCTTTTCTTATCATTTTCAGAGATATCGTTGTTTATCTGGGATTTTATACGTTTGAAGTAAAAATGAAATGAATTCTGCCTGATGTAGATGAATACGTCGTCGTGAAAATAGCCTGAATCTGGGTACATCAGCTTAGACAATTAATTATTCTAAAAGAAAAGCCAAGGGAACGGAGTGAGGAAAAATAAATTCAATGCCTAGGTTTTCTCTTGGTAGGCAAATAATTTTGCGATTATAATGGTGGTGTTCCGTGTTATCTTGCTGCAATATATCATGTGACGTCCTCAACCAATCAGTATTAAAACTATAAATGACTTGTTTATTGGGTTCCATCGAGCTCTGATTGGTCTATTTTCGGGCATTTTTTTTCGTTTGTTGAGGTTTGCTGAACTAACAACGCTGATTGTAAATCATTACAGATCATGCCTTAACTAGACATTATTTAAAGACATTTGAGTGTGCCATTAATTCTCAGTTCGGCGTTTTCATCCACATTCCCCGCATCCTAATTCCCATTTCAAAAGGCCAATCCCAGCTCCCTTGTTGCCTCTTCAAGACTCCCTCTCTCTCAAAACAGTCTAGACTTTCAAAAAAGTCCTTCGTCCGATTTGGCTAAAAAACTCGCTCTGCTTCCTTAAACTCGTAAGGTCGACTTGTGGCAAGTCCAGTAAAAACAGTCCTGCAGTCTTTGTTTGTCAGTGCTTGGTTTGTTTGTTTACTCGAGGCATTTGCTGTAGAAAAAAAGGAAACTGCTGAAGAGAATGAGAACAGCGTAAGAAAAATACAATTTAATACAGTGATCGGTCAAGAATTACAGGCGGTGTGCAAAGGATCGTTCACTTTTAAATGAAAAGAAATGCAGTCGTTCTGGAAACCAGGGTTTAGTGCAAGGATATTACTATGAAAGATTAATAGGTGACTTTTCATTTCAATATTGTTTCGGAGGACAGACGTTTTACGGTGATATACATATCCTGCTGCGGTATATACCACAGCCAGTGGGAAACGAGAAAGGAAACCATAGGAATACCACAAAACCGAGCCTAAAGATACAGATAAGATAATTCGCTACTCCTGGATAATTATTAATAGCTTTTTTACAGGTTTAGAAAATTAAACTGAATTCGTAAGAACTTAACTTTATTGATATTTGCTAGACTTAACAGCGACAAAATACCATCAAGCCAAGATAGCTAGCTGTTGAAAATGGAAACTGTTTTAAGGACACTTGAAAGACGCTTCAAGCATTCAAAAGGAACGATTCAGAATTCAGTCATATTATTGATGATTTATGGATTTGAGAAATTCATAAGCACGCAATTGTTCAGGTGAGATGAGTTTCTTTATAAACACAAAGTCTTGCAGTCACTCCTAGATCATTCTTCAATCAAACAGAAAAGCTACTTTGCTAGGTTAAAACGGCAGGGAGGAACTTTTAATTCCGGTGTATGAGACCGCGACACTGTGACTTGTTACTGGTGTAAAATCTGTAGTTTTTTGCCACTTTATTTTAAATCAGTGCATCTTTTGCCCAAAGAGGCGTTTTTCAAGAATGTACTGAAGTAAAAAGACACAATCTTTCAAAAAAATAAATCTTGCACATGATAGCTTGCTTTAGCCGGTACGTTCATTGTTGTTTAAAGTTGCATGAAAAATTTTCTGAGGGAGTTGAAGATCATCCAACTTTTCATTTTTTTTTTCTTTTACTTTCTGGAATAGCATTTACAAATTTTGAAAACTCTTTTTTACCTTTATGGCTATTTGACTGATTATCTTTATGTTGCTGAACCAAATCATGACTCTAAAAGCTATTTCCAGTAGGTGCGCCGGTTTTACTTTGGGTTCGCGCACAAACATTCTAAAATAGCTACGAGTCTGTGTTAGTTCATGTAAAATTATCGCTAAAAAAAGAAACTGAGCCTGATCTAGAAAAAACGCATAAAAATTTCCCCATAAAGGACATAATTTTGATAAGCAAACTTTTCTTTCCCATCGTTTTCATCTTCTTTAAAATAAAAACAGAAAGAAAGCCAGACTTTTTTAATACAAAGAGGAATAACGAAATCATCTGCAGCTGGCCTTTTAAGACATTATTATTTATTTATAACTTTCGCTGTTAAAATCAATTGAAAAACAACTAAAAAAAATTCTTCTCGAAGAACAACAGAATAATTGGTTTAAGTGTATCATACAAAGAGCGAGAGAAATTCAAAAGCCAACTGAAGTAAGTCACGTTACCTGATTTTACCAAGTTGGTACCATACTCTGACCAATTCCCCAGTCTCGGAACTGGGCTGCATATCATTGAAAAATGGCTGGGATTTTTGTCTCTTATTAACCATGGTCAGCAGGGCTATTATGAATTGATTTCTAAATTTACTATTTATATTACTGGAACTGAAACGAATTCACGTCGTCTGTCTAAATCCGGGAGAAGTAGAAAAATAAGTAGAAAAATGTAGACACAAGTCATGCCGATTTTTGTACACGTAAAGGGTGTCGTTACGTAGCCTCCTTGTGTCACAAAAAAAATACAGAAAAGAAAAAATGGGGGATACATATATTGCTTATAGGAAATGAAATAACATCGTTACGAATATGGCCAATAGGGCACTTCCAAGTAAGTGCCGTTTGAGTTATTATAACTAAAAAATAACTGATAAATGAAAACCATGAATTTATTGGTAGCACAGCCATGAAGTGTTTTTTGGTCTAATAATGTCCCCCTTTGGGGAAGGGGAAAAACAGGAGTAGCTGCGGAAAAAACTTCTCGCCCCGGAGCAAGGGCAAGAACAACAATTAATTTAGCCTTCTTGTTAGGAGGTTTGCTTAGCTTCTCAACATTTTTGTACGCTCAAAAGTTTTACACACACCAATTCAAACGTTAGCGTAATACAGTTCTATAGCCCGCCCCTGTATTTCCTGTGCTTGTTGGGTTTGGAAACATCTTGCCTCTCGTTGTTGATGCATGACGAGTATCACCAAGCTGTTCCAATTAATCTAAGAAGCATGTTCAGGCTAAAGACTGATGTACATAACTATAGAACCAGGTCTGCATCAAACCAACATCATTATGTTGAGTACTCTCGAACGGAAAAAATGAAAAATCATTTGTGAGAACTGGTGCTCTAATATGGAACGGTCTATCCAAATCTCTTAAGTCCTTGAGAAATCTCAATTTAAATCCAAAATCAAACAAATTCTCCTGGAGTTTCTTCACAGAACGTGCAGACAGACAGTCAGAACGCGCGGACTTGACGCACGCGTGATTGAACCAAGGTGGACTCCTCTATTTACTTAAATGGGACAGTGACCAACGCGAAAGTTTCGGCTACTTTGGTCACTGTGCAGATATCAACAAACCTGTATATTATATTTAGTTTTCATCATTTGTTAACCTACTGATTCTGTAAGCCATCTTATTATTATATACTGTACCAACTTGAATAGTGCGTAATAAACTTGAACTCCCCAAATACTTCGTGATATTAAGCAAATGGAAATGTGATAATATCTTACATATTTCATTTTTTTTCCTTGTCTGCCTCCAATATCAATTAACATTAAGCTTTACAATAATATCTGCAACTCTACAGATCAGCTTCTATATTGTTATGTTGACAAATTTTTATTATTTTTAATACGATTACTTTTCCGTGCCTCGAATAGCGTTTCTTTGCTAATTTGCAGGGTAACTGTATTTAGGTTCAAAATATGTGTGAATAAATTAAACTTTTGTTTTTTTATTATCTGATTATTATTGAAGGCATGGGGCCTATTGAGGGAAAATCAAAAGTGAAACTTTGCTCGGAAATCTTTTTTCATTTCCTTTTCCGTCGTTTTTTTGTGGATTGAAACCAGGTCATGTGTAGAACGTTCCTAAGTATTATCTTTAGGTTTACCTGTAAAAAAAAAAACACTTTATGCGTTAACTCCCATTTTACCTGCCAAAACATTATCTTCTCTTGTTTCAGGTTATTTTAAACGTGTGAAAATATATCCAATACTCAAAACTTAGAGAATGCTTAAATTTTAGGCAAAGCCTGTGGTTAGGAGTACAGACGCCCGCGGAAATCCCTAAAAGAGATTTTTCGTGTACCCCTCGGGTTCATTACCTACCAAATTACCAAGAGAGTTGTGGAAAAAATACAACCCTTAGTGCCAGAATTACTTATAGCCGACTGGAAGTGTTTGATGTTGTAATGAAAAAAATTGTCTCATGTTTGTATGATATTACTTGTAAAGGCAATGATCCTGAATTACTATACAATCAAGAATACAAAAACGAGGCCTTCATCAGATAAGGAAGCATGGTGTGCAAGGGTGGTGTAGTGGTGAGAGCACTTGTATCCCACCAATGTCGCCCGGGTTTAAATCCCGGCTTCCACGCCTTGTTTGAGTTGAGTTAGTCTTGGTTCTCTTCCTTACTCGAAGAGGAGAGACAGGAGAGGAAAGAGGACGGCAAACCTTGTGTGACAAGCGCGACAACAACTTTGATTGAAAAAAAGGTTCCTCCAAACTTAACCCTCCTTTAAATAAATCTTTTTGGAAAAGACCAGAAAACATTAATTTAAGTGACAAAACGACAAAACACTCAAGTAACAGCCCTGTCACGTTTGTCACAAACAAGCGTTTTGCCGTTCTGTTGCGTAAACTCACTATTTTTTCCCTTCTATCTTGCCAGATGTCCTTGTACAAACAACTTTTTGTACAGCGTGGTTATGATGGCTGGCCCCTCCCTTTTTCTATTGGGCCTCGGTTTCATGATGAGTGGAGGTTTCTGGAAGACCTTACAGGAAGGAAGCAAGCTCAAACATTTCAATGAAAGACTCAACTACCGGATGAAGTCACTCAGTCGACTCTTCCAGCCATTTCTAGCCCCCACGGCGTACATAACGATGGTCTTGTTAAAAGGAGACATTTTTGTGTGTTCCCAAATTGGTGCTGTGCGCAATGTTGCTTGCCAGGGTGCTGTGTCAGACACAAAGTCATCACAAGTAAGAACTTTTGAAATCCTTGCCAGCTGATCTTTTAAAGTTACACTTTCTCATTTACCCTTTTCATCCAAACATGCAGTCTGAGAAAATTCTGAGAGCTAAGTAGCTACACCTAACTCTTGGCTATGTAAACCAATAACTGCAATGTATTTTTGATCTTCGCTTCCACATAAATGCTCAATTGTCCTTGTAAAAAATAAGCCAGTGGTTGAAAAACTCTTTCGTCACATTATTTCTTTGAGAATGCGAGGTATGGGTTAAGGCTTCCTGTGGCACTCGCTGGCATCCGAGCAAAAAAGCTGTTTTATCACCATCATCATCATCATCGTCATCATCATCATCATCATAATCATCATTATTATTTTTTATAATTTATTACGGAGGGAAAAACACAAGTATTATCAGGAGCCATTCACCCTGGTAATGTATCCCTAACTCAGCCCAAATCTCGTTCCCAGATCGGCTTCGTCAACAAGAGATCTGGGTACGAGATTAACTCGGCCCTGATGAGACTGTTTATTGTGTTCATGTGGCTGAAATGAGTGTCATCATACTGTAACACTCAGTACCAATATTAGCACTGAAAAACACGCACCAACGTCGCAGTATGGCTATTACCTTACGTATGCGCTTAACCATATCACCCGGGCAGTGGCAGCCATGGACAGCTGTTTCGCCCTTTATTGGGGCTCATCAGCATGGCACAACCGTCGGACCTCTGGACGGAAAGTCGCAGAGTTGGAACTAGCCTGCGGAGCAAGCGTTTCCGTTTGGTTTCGGAGCAAAAAGAGACCGTGGAAGGGGAGTTTCGGTTTTGATCGCGCGAGAAATTAAACGAGAACCAAAAGATGAAAAATGGGGGAGGGAGAGAGGAAGGCAGGAAATAGCGTTTCCTTTCTTTCTTCCCCAACCCCTCCCCGCTCTTTTACTTGCGCCATTATTCGCGCGGTCTTTGTCTCTTGTTCCTCGTTCTTTGTTCCTAAACCGCACAGAAACGCTTACTACGCAGGCTAAGTTGGAACGTGTGCGTCAGTGCTTAAATTGGTATTGTAACACTCAGGCCTAGGCCAAACGTCTAACCTCTTCATGAGACGAACCAAACTCTAATTAAGGTAGGACGCGTCAAACTAACCAACTGAATCAGACCAAAAAGCAATTTTAACTGGCCAGCTGGTGTTGAGTACTAAATTTTCTCTCGAACGAGGCCAAATATACATTATCACACAAATTTTTAATTTATTAGTTTTGTTCGTCGCATGTAAAGATCGTCACTTGTCCCGGAGACGATCTTCAGACATGTTAAACTCATTCATTCAAACTCATTCAGACGAACTTAAGTTAACCAGACGTCGAACTCTTCATGAACAAAACTCACCACATTTGGTTCGTCTCATGAAAAAATCGACTTTTGGCCAAAGCCTCAGTGGGGAAGTTTCCTATGAATTAATCCAGTTGTATCTATGACAACCAGATTCACTGTACTGGCTTAATTTACCCCCAAATCAGCGAGTTTCATAATTATTGATTCCTTACAAAGGGAATTCACTCTACTAATGGTTACTTTCGCCCTTCCCCCAGGAGAAATCAAACGAGCTGCACATTCTCAAAGTACACACGCAGTCCCAGATTCTCGGGTTAGGTATCTTGGTCGCATCAACGGTGTTCTCGCTGGGCCTCGTTTGCATTCAGCGATGCTGCTTTGAAGACGACACGCTTCCGAACCCAGGTGAATTCGAAAAGCTTGAAAAAGAAGTACTAGGGAATTTATTTCGCGAGAAATTGTTGGTCGCCATTCAAGAAGACGCAAAGAAAAAGGTGAACGACGCGTTCCAGATCAAATCTAAAAGGGATGTGAAAGATGTTTTTAACAGAGCCAGAGCAGCACTGAGAGGTATTACTTACCCTACCGACAGGAATGGACGATATAATAGACTGAATATTGACGATGAAGAAACTGAATTGCAGCTTATGGATTCCACCCATCTGTAAAGCTGTCGATCATTTTCAGCAGTGGTAATTTGAACTGATCAAACGATCTAGATGGAACAGTCGGGATCCAAGAAATTTTCGTTTAAGGAGTTGTAACTTGTGCAGACTACTGACGTCAGTGATTTCTACCCTTCCTTGTCAAAACCTTTATCCAAAAATAGAGCGTTTTCACATGACTTCACGGCGACCATATTGGTTTTCCAAAACAATGAAACGGCGGCCATGTTGGTGCACCCCGAAAATCCTCTGGGTGTTGAACTCTTTTCTCACGTAAATGATTTTTTGGTTGTAATAAATTAGCATAGACGCTGGCCACGTGAGTGAAAACGCTCCATAGTGGCAAGAATCATGAATTCAAATAGACTTCTTTAACTTGTATGTTTTGTTCTCCCGATACTCTAGGCCCGGGGGTGAGTACTTTAGGAATTTCTGGGTGAGGATGTGCCGCTGGGACCATGGAGTGACCCTTAAACCTATACCAGCGCTAGTGCAGCTGAATTTTGCTACCCTATAGAGTAAACTCCCCAAATCCCCCCTATCCTAGAGTAGCTGTTTCCCTAGTCTAGAGATAAAATCTTCAACCAACTGATCAGTTTCCTGAAAAATGATACCCTATTCTAGACCCAAACGCTCTGATTTATATACCCTATCCTAGAGTAAACTGCTTGAAAACCATACCCATCACAGCGGCACATACCTATATAGCCCATATATGGCAGTACCCCCCCCCCCCCGCCCCCCGGACTCTAGGGTACTGTAAATTTCGTCTTACTCACGTGCATATGTACGACAAAGAGTCAATTTCCCCTGGGACCTCTATTAAGAAAACAAAACATACAAGCTAAAGAGGTCTATTCGCCACAATTTTGGAATAAGGAGCATTATCAATAGAGAATAATGGAACAGATAGGGAATCTTAGGGCGTTAGCCGGGACATGTGAATTTCACTAAAGTTTATATTTTTAAAAGGGTTGTTATCGGGCTTATTTAAGATGCCCGCCATCTTTGCACGCGCTTAAGGACTGATGGGATAAAAGCGATGTCACGTGTTTTCTCAGGGGGCAAACAAGGGATAAATTTTTCCAATACAAGAAATCGCGGTCGAGTTTGTTAATTCTTGACAACAGAAAATGAACAACTTTTTGTATTAATGGCGATAATGGCAAATTATGGATGGAAGTGATCATTTTTTCTTTTTTTGGATGCAGTAGCCACCGTAGATGTCCTCACGGCAAGCAATAATGACGTTAATTTTGTCGAAACTCAAACCGCACATTTTGCATGACCATTAAATAGTAGTTTCGTTTTGAGAGAATAAACAAACTTGACCGCGATCTCTCGTATTGGCAAATTTTATCTTTTGTTCGCCCCCTGAAATACCACGTAATATTAAAACAAAACTGAATGCAGGGCTGGCACTACGGCAAAGGACTGATTTATTGTAGGCCAATATTTCGGCTAACAAAATCAGCCTTCCTCAGGGCCAGAGCTATACCGAGAGAAAATATATTTTAATATTGCTTTTATCCCATCAATCGTAAGGCCCCGTGCAAACGGATGCAACATTGTTGGCCAACAACTCCCAACATTGTTGGATGTTACATGTTGCGTCCGTTTGCACGCCCTGTTGCATGTTGTTGGATGTTCTTGCGTGTTGTTGCGCAAAGTTTGAAACCGGTCAAACTTTTCGGCCAACAACTCCCAACATTTCTTTTGTTCCGTGATCGCCGAAGCGTAGCGCAACAATGTTGGATCCGTTTGCACAGCTCTTCCAACATTGTTGGGGCCACGCACGCTCATTACTCATGGTTTACAAAGACTTATGGCTTGTATCCTTCCTTCGATGCACTGCAGGTCCCAACATTGTTGGGAGTTGTTGCATCCGTTTGCACACCACTGCCAGCACGCACGCAGCCTAAATTAAAGCGCGTCCAAAGATGGCGGGTATCGTGAATAAGGTCTATTATGACCGCCTCAAAGCAAATGAGTGTGGATCATTGTTAGGACGACACCAAGAGCATAATGTTCCATTATATTCTCTTGAAAACACTGAATTAAGGTTTGCAGACCTTTCTGGGGACGAATTTCCGATTAATTTCAAACATCAGTTTAATTGGTCTTAAAATAGCTTTGTTGAAATTCACAGATCCCAAGTACTAAACAAGTCAAGTCAAGTCCATTTTCATTTAAACTCACACAGAGTAATAATTAATACAAATTAGCGCTTTAACATATCAAATTGAGAGATTGTGAAGGAAAAGAAATTTTAAATTGTAGGTTCATTGTGCAGAGTTTGGGGCACCTAAATAGTTCATGGAACTAACCGAGTAGTAACCTGCGATCAGGCGATTTTTTTTTTTTTTGGAGTAGGTGACCCAAAACTGTGTCATCATTCTCTCTTGTGCACTTACTCAGTCTCCTGATAAGACAGATAAGCCAAGAAAGAATGACCCTTGTGTACCCGTCTTTAAAACTTGTGTTTTAGAGATTCGCAATCTCAACAGGTCCCCCTGTTTTTATGGCAAAGTGCTCGCCGGTTTTATTTTGAAGCTACACGATGAAAGTTCTGTCATGCTACTCTTCAGTAGTCAGAGTTACTTCAGTTTGGAAGTCGGCTTGAAGCACTTGGTTAATTAGTTTAATCAGGTCCCTTGCATATCTTCAAGGGGAACCCGTCCACACTGGAGCCACCACTGATTATAACCTGACTCCGACTCTAAATAGCCAGAATATTGAAGTACTGTACTTGCTACAGCAGTTGTGTCACTTAAAGAACATTTTTTTCATCTTAATTGCAGTCGGTTACTTCCTCGAATAGGTTTCGTATAATTCTTTCTTAATAAAATTCTCTTTAATGTTTCAATCTCTTGTTCAATATCAATGCAAAATTAAATATTTATCAAACACTCATACTGAAAGATGCTTTTTTTTTTCTATCAGAAGGGAGTGCCCCTACCATTACCTAGTGGCTGCTAAATGTCAGTAAGACCATTCTACCCTCAGATATAGTCAACATACTCTGCTCCACTTGTTTAGGAGGCTAGTTAGTGCCGAAAAAATAGAAAAGCTTACCCTGCGAGCTAGCTCTTCCTTTGAAGGATATCGTGAGACGTCACGCGAGAACGCGAAAGGCACTTACGCGTTAAGTTCTTGCACGACTCGCTTCCGTTCACTCGTCACTTAGCCTGCTCGCAGGCTAAGAAAACATGTGAACGGTCCTCAGAACGAGTAGCAGTTATCAACCTGCCAGATGGTATTTCGGTTTTCAGCTTTATTTTACATTTTTTCTTTTCCTTTTTTTTGCACCGACTGTTTCATCACTTGGTGTTCGCCTCGTAAATCGGCGACTCTCTAAACGTAAATTCAGGGGTTCGACGGTTCGACGTCAGACTGACTGAGAGAGACTTCATCTCGTTCCAAAGGTTCTTGGCGTTTCGCGCTGCATTTCCAGTTATTCAGGCTGGTCGTTTCGCGTGACCATTCGAAAAAGCTTGCAGAAAAGTGATTTGTGTTCAAAATGAGAAAAGCCAATTTTAATCCTTGTTAGTAGGGGACCCCGTAGGGGCTCATTAGGCTCCCACTGTTTGAGGACATTTTGTATATATTAGCGCGGCTGAGTGGATCGGACATTTTCGGCACTTTTGTCGATTGAACTTGTAATAATAGACTTGTGTTGGTCAAATGATTCATAAACGTAGAAAGCTATTTTGTGGGTCAAAATTGTACCTCTAAAAATTCAGATTTCGGTGATCTAGAAAAAAGGTTAAAATTGTATTTTGAGGAAAAGCCCAGTAAACATTCACCTCCACTTTAAATATAATTGAATATTTTTCTCCACCTACCTAAACATCCTATGTTGATGGAAATAATTTCAAAATAAACTGCATGGTATCATGGCATATTTATGAGCTCTGTCTAGAAGCTAAAAATTAATATTTTTGTGGTATTTTTTGTTTTTAATTGATCAGATTAACGATGGTGCCGCTAAAAGAATGTGTAAGCATTAAAGCCCACTGATGATACTTTCATCAAAGTCAGAGGCAATGGAGATAGTTCTCCGCGCGCTTGAAACCCTCAACACACCAAGGGGGATTTATTTTAATAAATTCATGAGAAGGTTATTAATGAAATGAAATGTTCAAGAAGGTTATAAAAACACACAGCTATTCTACGATAAACAAAATTGGCCAGGAGAACTGTCGACTATCAACCTAGATCAATCGCTAAAAAAAACAATATCTTTTTTTCCAGCGCTCGATCCACTACGAAGCTGAAATGGGTTGTACTTGACAATTACTGTCTAAGTAAACTAATTTTCAATGCATCTAAATGAACTACTAAATAGAAAACCACTTTTAATAAAAGAATATTCATCAAATGCGGTGCTGATTAGCATGCATGCGAGCGATGAAACAAGAATTATTTTTGTTTTGGAGGTGATCCTACATGGAATCGGATCACATTATCCAATCCGCTGGATATAAACTTGCATTCGAATTGGATCCCGGTGAAATCAGAAGCCGAAAATTTTTACTGGTGTTGGAAGCAGAGAGGACTAGAGAAGTTGACAAGACAGAGAGCTCGTTTTCTTGTCGAAGAAAATGCCAACCTCGTAAGTAAACACACCTTTCAGTAACAAATTATTTTTAATTATTTTAAACTTAGCCGTTTGCGCTTTAACTTTATACACTGCGATGAACTTTAAATGCTGATCTATCAATTGTCACCCTTTGTGTGTTCTGCGCTCATGTCAAAATAGCTCTGACTGAAGAGGCAATTCAGTCTGGCATCGTAACAAATATCACAATTTACGACAATTACCTTTTAGAATGTCATCAAGTGTCGATTCCGGCCGGGCCAAAATTAATCGCAGCACTTCCCGTCTGTTACTCAAGATCATGGATGGAAAACATCCTTAAAACTCATGTTCCCTACTAAATCGTTTTTATAGTAGGGTTCACTTACAGAGTTTTTACGACTTTCATACCGTACGGCTCGCA